TAGCTCATCACAGGCTGGATGAGAACGATGGTGACAGGAGAGGAGCCCTTGACAACTCGGCGATCAAGAGCATTGCGGAGACCATGGTGTTCCTGGAGGGCACGATCAAGCCTTTCGCGGAGGAAATGGACATGGTGTTCCTGGAGGGCACGATCAAGCCTTCCGCGGAGGAAATGGACATGGCACGATCAGGCTGTTCGTGGAGGCTATGGACACGGGTTGCACGATCAAGCTGTTGGAGGGCATGATCAGGTTGGTCATGGGTCTCCTGCAGGGAACATCAGGCGGGTCATGAAACCATGGACATGGGTTTCCGGAGGCCATGATCAGGGCTTTTGTGGAGGCAACCCGGGTCTGAGCTGTGAATCCGTTCTGGAGCCTGAGGTGCAGCAAAGAGTGGCCCTTGGTCGGGTGCCGCCTGGAGGTGCTTCATAGCAGGAGCGTCGGGAGCCTTGCTCTGGAGGAGATAGGGAGGTGGAGGACCTACGAGACCTTCGAGCGGGAAGTTATGAGACTGCAAGCAGCAAGAGCAGGAGATGACGTCTCCTACAAGACGGCGTCGGACGGAGGTGCGACTGGTGGTCCGGCACCACCGCCTCACAACGAAGCCGGGAGGAACTTTGCTCATGGATGGTCCAATGAGGACCGACCTCCTCCTCGATCCACCGCCTCCACCGCCTTCACCGCCTCCGAGACTGATTGGAGGTGAAGCTACGACGGCATTCAGATCGGAGGCCCTGAGGAATTTGGAGCTCCGTAGTCTACCGCCGCCCGGAGGTGAGGGGTCGTCGCTGCAGTTTGGGGATTGGGTGACGGTCATTACCCCGCTGATGTCCGACATTGCGGGATCGGCCAGGCTGTGGTGGGAGCAGGTCCTGCAGAAGGCGGAGCTTACCTATGCGGAGTGGCTTACGGCGACGCCGTTGGAGAAGCTCCGGTTGAAGCCCACGGGTTGAGCAAAGGGGATTGTCGATGCTACTGGCGGCCTTGCCGGACCCCACCAGAAGGGCCCGGATGATGTCCGCGACGGAGATCATGTTTCGGCTTCACCAGGTGTACAAACCTGTGAACGCCCCGTCCTCTCAGAGGTGGGGGTCCAGGCTGGTGATGCCTCAATCTCGATATAGTTCGGCACGGCGGCCCTCACACCACGGCCTTGATCAGCCCCTTCTCCGCCAGGCTCCAAAGGTATCCCCACAACGCACCGTCATGAAGGTTCTGCCTGACGTCCTCCTCGGTGTCGATCGTGACGATCTCATAGCCGCCCCAATCCTCCTTCCGCCATTCCTTGGCATCTCGCCCAGCAAAAAGATGCACCACGACACCCTTGCTCGCTTCCCATTTCCTCAATCTCCGATTGAAGGGGCATCGCGCGGCAACTTCTGCTTCTCCTTCCACCCGGCCCATCAGCTTCAGGACCTCATCCGGGAGACTCGGAAACCATCGCTGCCACCGCTCCGCGGCTGCCTTGTCCGGGCCATCCAAGAAGTCCATCAGCTTCATCGCCTCTGACCTTCGCATGACCGGACAGCCATACCGCAGCCAGCAGTGCAGCTTTCCGTGGCCAGGGTGCTCAATGATGCACCCCTTGGCATTCCACCTCACCACAAATCCAGCGTCTACCAACATCCTCAGCGGTATGATGGGCTCCACCGGCTCCGGTGAGATTGTCCCTCTCATGCGGTCTAGCTTGTCGTAGCGCGTGAGTAGCTCCGCCATCCAACAACGCTACCGGCTCCACTTCTCCGCATTTCCCCGCTTCCTTCTCGGCCGCGGCGTACTTGATCTGCAGCGCCCTGATTGACCTCAAGGACTGCAGCAGGCCCGCCAGACCTGAGGCTTCTTCCGACCTTCCAGGCACCGGTCTAGCCTGTTCTCCGGTTGCTCTTGAAGCCGATGATGCGGCACCAGGGTTCCGCTTCGTGGCCTCCCGGGACGCCTCCTCCGCGGAGCCCGTGAGCCACTAAGACGGGCCCCTTCGCCTGCCACTGCCTGACCTTCCGCCGGCATGGGTTCATCTCCTGGCTTCATGACCTTGAACACCTTCGGAGCTGGCTGCTTCCAAGAGCTTCCAGTCGTGGGTTTCTTGACCGGGCAGTCTCTCTTCGAATGGCCCATCCCGGAACATGCAAAGCATCTGTTGGTTTTCTCCAGGCCCTCCCACGAATGTGCATAGGTGCAGCTGCTCCCCTTCTTGCATCCTCCATCCGTTCCCCAAAACCTACAAGCAGGGCCTTGGGGCTTTTTTCTGTTGTCCGTCACCTCCGTAGCTCCCGCTGCCGCCAACGCCTTCAGGCCAGAGGTAGCAGTGCCCGTTCCTGTTGCTCCCGGATGCCGCCTTAATCGCCGTCGTCAGCGAGAGCTCTTCGGCTTCAGCCTGCAGGTACTCCGCAAACTGCTTGATCTTCCCGGAAGCCGAATATCAATCTGCAGCTCCTGCCGAACCGAAGAAATCCTAAACGAAGCCTGGGCTCCGGTCTTGCCGACCACCTCTGCAATTTTTCCCAAGACCGTGATCAACACCAGCCCGTCCGGAAGCGCCACATCCAGTTCCTCAGCTCTCGCCAACCACCTCCTCCACGGCATTGCTCTTCAAGCAGATGGGCCTGTGGCTTCGGGCGCAGGAGTGCTCCAAGGAGATGAAGGGACCAGTGGGCTTCTTGTTGGAGTCCCCCATGGACCCGATGGAGTATGATCCCAGAGCAGTGGAGCTGGACGTGCCTTCCTTGTAAAATTCGCGGAGAGCTTTGATCAGGAGGACTGGTGGCGGCCATCAAGATGTCCCTCAAGGAGCTCATTGGGAAGCTCGAAGAGCGGAAGGAGGAGAAGAAGATAGAGGCAGGGGAACTCAAGAGGATGACCTTGGAGAAGTGGAAGCAGCACGTTGGCCGGGGCACACTCCGTTCAATCGACGGTGCCGCATTTGTAGGCACGAGGGTGGAGTGATCGGCCCCATCGGAGATTGAAGGCGGACATTCCGTCCTATGCCCTCAATGTGGACATTGCTGGGCCATTTTCGACAGGGAAGGACGTCGGAACGGGCAGAAAGGTGAAGTACGTGCTGATTGGGTCGCTTGGAGCTGGGGACAAGGAGAAGCAGCAGAGCCGGAGGAGGAGGACCCAAGTCCAGCAGATTGGGAGGAAGAGGATGATCAACCCCGTGCATCGGATGAGGAGGCCAAGAGGCTCAACGACAAGGTCAAGGACGAGATGGCCGACGCTATGAAGGGCGTGACGGTACAGAACGTAACGATGGCGGAGGTGATGGAATCAAGGAGCGCCAGAGAGGTCATCAGGGCCATTAGCCTGATCTTTGTGAAATACCGCAGCCTGGGCATCCCGCTGTACCGCATGCATTGCGATCGGGCGAAGGAGTTCCTGGCAAGGCCGGTGCAGCAGTGGTGCTTAGAGCACAATCTGTTGCTCACCATGACGGCGGGCGATGACCACGCGGCCAATGGACGAATAGAGGTCCTCAAGGACTCAGGGGCTCCGGTGAAGTTGTGGCCTACAGCACTGCGACATGTGGTGCTCCAAAGGAATCCAAGGTGATGTGGCATAAGAAGCGCTTCTGGCTTCTCAATTTCGAGAAGTGCGCCTACTGGGTCCTAGTCCAATGATGAGTTGGGGCTGGGTGGCTGAAGGGGCCATCCAACACACCAGGGCGGCTGTTCTGCCCGACGAGGAGGCCGACCATGCAAGGGACCTGGAGGCAGGAAGAGTGAGGTATGAGTTGGAGGTGGAGGAACGCCCAAGAACGCGGTTGACGGGCAAGCAAAGTCTGGATCCAGCCCCTAAGCTGGGGGGAGACGGAGAAGAAGGGCATCCAGCGGCAGATGGAGAAGGTCTGGCACCCGCTCTACGTGAACTGCGAACGGGGGGGAGTATACCTCTCCAAAATTGTGGAGTTTTCAAGGAAGCTTGGAGGAGACGAAGAATCTCATGAGCAGCTACCAGTGGGGCGTTAAGGAAGCACTGGCGGAGGAGCTCAAGGTAATCTCTATGGATGAGGTCACCGGGAATGGTCAAGGAGCGGCGATGGAGTTCCTCCTTGGTGGCATCAACCAGCTGGAAAATGACCTGGTAATCATGCAGGACCAGGAGAATAAGAACTTCCACAAGTTGGCAGGACTGCAAGGAGTAGACGGAGAAGAGCCAGCGAAGGTTCTGCAAACCTACACGGTGCCCTTGCAGGAAGTGCGGAAGGGTCTGGAAGCGTGGAGGGGGGCCATGATGGACGAGTGTCGCTCTCTTGTGAAAACGGACGTGGTCAAGCCCATCGACGCGTGCGACCTGGCGGCGGTTCCGGGGATTGAAGATGCCGAGTACGCCCCGGGGAAGCTGCTCACAACTATCAAGGCCCCGACAGGAAGGCAATCTGCTGGCGGACGGCAATGGCAAGGTGGCGCGAACCTCGGCGGACAAGGCCGAGAACTATGCTGGGGGCATCGACGGGACAGCCCTGAGGTGCGTTCTGAGGAAAGGAGCCCACGAACAGTGGTCCCTGGCAACGGTGGATGTGAAGTGCGCCTTCTTGCTAACGCCCCGGAAGGAGACCCAACGGACTCTCATCACAAGGCCCCCGAAGGTTTTGGTGGAGGCTGGGGTTGTCAAGGCGTCAGAGCGGTGGTTGGTTCAAGGAGCCATGTACGGCGTGGATACCAGTCAGCGTTCCGAGACCAAGGGCTAGCGGGCTAGCCTATGGCTTGGAACGGACGCCGGAGACCAGTGTGTGGTCTATCGTGAAGTGTGAGGGCGAGGCTCGCAAGAACCCGAAGCCCTGCGGCTACTTGGTGATCTATGTGGACGATTTTCTGGCGGTGGGACTTACTTCCTTGGTGGAAAATGTCATCAAGAGCATCAATCAGGAGTGGGTCTGCAGCGCGCCGGAGTGGGTGAGCAAGGCAGGATGGACGAAGTTCTGCGGAATGGACGAGGACGGCAAGACGCTCCGTGTGGGACAACCCTCGTACATCTCAAAGTTGATGCAGCGCCACGAGGTGATGATGGCCAAACCGGCCCCGTTCTACAAGCCAGAGGTTCCTGAGAATCCGGTGGTCACGCAGGATGGATGTGGGAGGCACAGGGACTGGTTGGAGAATTGTTGTGGGTGTCGGTGCGCACCCGGCCCTTTGGAAGTCGTGAAGGCTGGGAAGGAAATGATGGCCCACCTGTACGGCACGAAGGATTTGGGATTGGTCTATGGACGCTGCTTGGGAGACCGAGGAGCAGAAGGGAATCTTCCTTTTGCGAGATCGATGAGGCGGCTGGAAATGTATGCGGACATCTCTTTTGCGCCGCAAGGAGAGAAGAGCCACCAGGGAGTTTTGGGATTCTATGGTGGTGCCCTTGTCCAATGGGAGTCGGGGCGACAGCCTTTTTGCACCCTCACCACGCACGGCGGAGGCAGAGTTGGTGGGCTACATCGAGGCCATGATCATGGGAGATCACCGAAGGAGGATGCTGGAGCGCCAAGGAGGCGGAGCGGGTGATCTACGGGGACAACACGGCGGCCTTGGCAATCGTGCAAAGTCCTTCGGGACCGTGGCGCACAAGGCACTTGCGCCTTCGATCCAACGTGCTACGGGAACGAGTGCGAGAAGGGGAATGGCAGATCAGGCATTTGCCGGGTAGCGGGTTGGTGGCTGACTATCTCACGAAGGCGGTGGCGGCAAGGGCCCAATGGCTTCGGTTCTACTCCATGGCGGGCATGATTAAGGAAGGTTCGGAGGTGGTTTCGCTGCCGGGACCGGGAGAAGCAGATGGTGGCCGGGTCATCGGCAAGGAGGCATCCCTTGGAGTGGGTGTAGGATTCGTGTTGAAAGGTTAGTGGGCCCAACCCCAGAGGGAATTAAGATCGGCTAGGGAAAATGAACCAGCCGCACATGAGGACAACCAGATTCGGGTTGCGAAGATGATCAGGGAAGATGAACCGACCACATCGGAGGACCCCGGGATGGGCCATCCGTGCTCATGGAAAGCCGAGGAAGCGAAGGTTCCACCCGATCCATCGGGACTTTCCGGTGGATGCAGTGGACTTGGAGTCAACCCAAACCACGGTGAAGCTCTTCGCCGGGGAGTCGCGGTTGGGCCTCAAGCGCATTGAGGAGGATAGCTGGACCGCGCCGCAGGCAAGGCAAGCCACCTCCAAAACGCAGCAGTGGCGAGGATACACGTTCTTCCGGATCAAGGAGAAGGAAGAGAGGCAGTCTTCGGGGGCTCAGAAGGAGATCTTGGAGGCGAAGGTGAAGGAGAAGGCGTCGTCTTCATCGGCCCGGGCAAGAACTTGAGAGACTGGGTATGCCAAGGGTGGCCCGGTGGAGCGAGGAACTGAGGCTGGCTCGGTGGCGTTTTTTCCTAGGGCAGGGGTAGAACCTGACTCATCTCGGGAAGATTCGTCTGAATCCTCGGGGTGGGAACAGGTCTGATCCACAGGGGGAGTGTGGAAACAGCACTCGACATATTCGACCGACCGAAACTTTGGCTCAAGACGCATCGAGAAAGGGTGCGCGCCAGTTTTTACCCCAACATAGCCATAGTTGTAAATGAGGCCCTTTTTTTCGAGAAATGGGGAGAGGTGGACCCAGGATTTATACCTGGTTGATTCATTCTAATAGCTAGAGGGGATCATTTACTTTTGGGAGACGCCACCCGGACATGCTTGATTAACCCGCGATAAACGTGAAACTTTATAAATTTCTGGTCAGTTCTGGGCTGGTGCTTTGGAGGGACTGGCCCAGTGCCCCATGGTGAACGTACAGGTTGGAGACTTTGATGAGAGGTGCTCATGCTGGTGACTCAACATATTCGACGCATGCCACCCTTGTTCCTTTCCGCCATGAGGTACAGGAACTTGTCCAATCTCAGCCTAGTAAATCTGGTCCGCATTGGCAACTCGGCCAAGTATTCGGCAGTGGAACTGCAACGTCCACGAGATTCACTCCATTTGTCAGCCTACTTGCCTGGTGAGTAGCTCTAGTTCCCAATTGGTCGTGTATTTGTTGGAGATTGGTTTCGAGGGACGCCGGTTGGTTCCACTTGCGGGTGAAGCAAACAATGAGTTGTGATTTTTGTGGCACCCAGTCGAAAACCACCCAGAGGGTGCCCCGGGCCAGAATCACTGGCCTTGCGGGGACTTGCAAGCCATGCCACACTCAATTTGAGGCATTGCAGCTGGAGCCCTCCAGAAAGCCAACTTTTGAATGTCCAAAAAGTGCCCCACTCAGCTTATCTCAAAATCGGGGGAGCGCCCCTAAATCTCCAGGGTTCCTCTTGATTGCATATGGAGGGACTTGTTTTCAAGCGCCATCAAAGAAAGACTCACTTTTTGAGCTCCTGGACTGTCAACTTTTTGGGACGACCATTTTGGTGGTCAACAACCAGTTTAGACTTTTTTGTCCAATCCAGCCAGGAAGTGAGAAGGCACCCAATTTCCCCATGGTCTTTGCATCCCGTTCACTGCCCGAGGTGGCCGGAGACTTGGCAGGACTGGTGCGTGAGGCGCGCCAGCGCAAGCGGCTGAGTGGAAAGGCGATCCATAAGATCCTTCTTTCGGGTTACTTAAGTTCGGGACCAATGAACCTCGGGTTGATTGATAGGGGGGTCCTTTTAGAGTGTATATGCACCAGGTTGATTCATCCGAAGTCCCCTGTGTGGTGGCTTTTTCCTTGTGAAAGCTTGGCATAGGCCAAATCAAAATTTTGAACAGCCCAGCACGTTATTTCGCTTTCCAGGGGTGATCTGGCTGCAAGGTTTCTCAAGAAAAAAATGGTCCATCGGACACTTCCCGATGGCATGTCTTTGGAGTTCAAGAAGGTGACCAACCGACAACAGAAAAATTGGTTCAGAGTTGCAGTTAGGCGCTGCAATGGTCCAAGAGAAGAATTCTTGATGGAATGTGTGTGCAATGAGTATGGGCGCAAGCCTTAACCTGGGTGTAATCCCCACCTGGCCTTTTGCTACTCTGTCTCTATGCGTTTTAAGGTTTTCAACATGTGAACCACAATCAAACTTGAGATTTTGGGATCATGCGTCACAGTGGGACCTTGGATGAGAAGAACGCACATGTTGTCCTGGGCACCTCCGATGCTGACGAATCACTTCATGCTTAGTGCGATTTTGCTGTGGCCTTGCCTTGCTGTTTTGAACGGGCTTTGCTCTAGCCCAGTTTTTTGTGCCCACAGCGTTCCAACGTCAGCACGCTGTGCACCAGGCCCATGTCCGGTGTGCCATGCAAATATCTCGCTCATCTATCTCGAAATGTGAATCTGTATGTAGAGAGAGGTGTGTGTGTGAATACCTTCGCCTTACCCCTTGGTTTAACTCAATTTGGACACCTTCCGAAAGTAGAGCCCTGTGTGTGTGTGTGAATAAGGCCTTGGCATGGGGTTCTCCCGGGCTCGCCTTGGGATGCTCAAAGATCAACAGGTGCTAAGCTTCAGCTGCCGTTACTGATGCTGATGTTGCCGCTCGTAAAATGACCCTTCTGGCAGCTACTGGTATCAGTATGTAGCAATTTTGACGGCAGTGCCCCTGTCGAGCTAGCAGATTTCCAACGCCCTGCTGCTTGTCAAAACTCAGGTTTGTGTGAGCATGCCAGAGCGCTCTTGTTCGGAGATCATTCTAGTAAGACGCACCCCATCAGTTTCTGCGATGTCCTGCAAGCACCTCGCGTAAATGATGCATAGAGCAAACACGCAGAAGACCGCCTTTCCGCTGAGTCTGCTTGGTTCAAACGAGTCCCGGTGCAATTCACAGCCTTCGTCGGTCCATCATGAGCCGCATGAAGATCGAGGCGCTAATGAAGGGCAAGAAGCTGCCTTTTGACGATCAGGTCCTGGAGTACCTTTTGAAGGTGCACGCGCAGATGGGTGTGTGGTGTTTGCGCGTGTGTCTGTCTGCCTGCGTGTTTGTTTGAGGCCCAGAGGAAAGCCACATTTTGGGGTCCCCCTATTTTGGGTAGACACATGCCTTACACAATGTGTTATAAGCTTTTTCCCTCCACTCCTCTAAGCCCAAGCAGGTGTTTCTCAAAGTTATGATGGTTTGCAAGGAAAACCGGCTGGCAACCACTTGGAGGGGTCCCTCGTTTTGAGAAGCACCCATGGCTCTTCCATCTGGGAAACACCAAATGGAAAACATTCATTGGGGTTCCGATTCCTCCATGAGACATATCCACATTCCTCCCCTCATTTGCCCAGAAAGCCGACCTTTTCACCTATTTCCGCGTCCCTCCAAAAAAAACCGACTGAGAATTCGCTGTGTTCAGCTGGAGCTGCCAGGGTGTTTGTTGGTGTAGCGTTTCTGGGAGCTGTTCCCTGCCCACCGCCAAGCAGACGCCCAGCGTCGCTCCGCTCAGGTGGCGCCAGCCTCCGACAACGCGGAGCTGCTGGAGCTCATGGCCGACTTCTGCCCCCGCTGGCCCGTGCACGAGCGGGCCGCCCTGGCGGGGCACCTGAAGAAGGAAGGCCGGGATCTCAGACCCTCGGACCTCGGTTCGCTCCGCGGTTTGGGCGAAATTGGTTCGAAAAAGAAACCGGGGAGACGGAGGGGTGACCATCGAAAATATGTCCGAAGGAGAAAGAATGAGATAACATAGGAATGCGCAGACGTCCAATGCTGGGAGTATTGATCGGCTGGGAGAGTAGTTGGGCAAACGTGAATTGTGGAAGCAGTATGTTGGCAGTTGTTCGGTGGATGCCGCCCTTTTTTCCTTTTTGTGTGGTGGGCCGTTGGAATGCTGGGACTGAATTACCCGAGGGACTTGGGAGGGTGGGTCAGGGGAAAACGGGATGTCACTGACTGGATTTGTTTCTCCCTGTTCCCTTGGGGGTGGTTTTCGGGCTGTGGAAGGCCTTGCGGACTCGAGGGGTGGCCACTTTTCTTCCATTGGAGGGTTTGGAGGGACTCAGAAGAGGTGTGGGCAAAACTGACTTAAATAAACTGATCCGGGTACCTTTAGCAACTGAGAGGAGGTCGGTTGAGCAAATTTTGCTGTTTTGACAAAAGGGTTGGCCCAACCCCAAAAAAACAATGAATGGAGGCGTTTGTTCCACTGACAGTGACTCAGTATCGGGGATGCCATGTCCAGTTCGGGATTTCATTTCTCCATCCCAGATGGATGGCATTGGCAAGTGCCAGGTGCTGCGCTTCTGGGGGACAGCCAGCCCGCCGTGTCCTCTCGGGGCGGGGCTTCCGCCGCGCCGGCGACGGCCACTGCACGGGACGGGGACATGCTGGCAGCGGACCTGTTGCTGGCGCAGATGCTCCAGGACATGGGTCCAGCTTCATGAGAAGTCGAGTAGCCTCTTTGTGACATGTATGATCATGGTCACGACCAACGAGGGTGTGTGTGTGTGTTTGTTGTTGAGGCGTGAGGTTGATGGGAAGGGAAGCTAAAAAGAAAACCGGCTGCTTTTTTTTTTTTTGGGGGGGGGGGGTGGGCTCCCCGTAATTTTGAGACGTACCCATTCGGCTTAGAAAAATCCGTGCCCGCTTGAACAACTACCCGTTCCGACAGAAAAGTATTTGTTGACCCCAGGTTTGTGTGCCGCGCAATGCTGTCAGCTTTAACAGAGAAAACAGCTTACGTTGACGGGGCAAAAATAAACTTGCGAAGAAATTGATTTCATGGGAGCAAAAACAGAGGCACAGCAGACTTCGTTGATGTTGTTTTTTTTGCAGACTTCGTCATTTGTCAAAAGCCAACCTTTCAACCTTTGGGCTTTCCTTGTTGGTCTTTGTTTAGTCATGGTCCCAAAATGTGAATCGTTGATGGGTGGATGGATGGAGGGATGGATGGATGGATGGACGGACAGATGGATGGATGGATGGACGGACCTGAGATGCGCGGCCTTGCAGCACAGTCCCTTTGGAAAGCGTCATCAGGGGGTTATAGAACCTGGCGCTGCCCCATTTTTCGTGCAGTGCGGGCAAGGGTGGTGCAACACCCTAGTCAGGCCCGCCCGGCAAGACAGCGTGATATCCTCGAGGTGCTACACCTCCCCGACAGGCTCCGCCAGTACTAAGCCTCGACCACACCTGTGCCAGTGTAACTGACAACCTTTCTGATGTCATTTTCAAGAAAGTCAGCACAAAAGTATCTGATTGGGTTGGACGCCGCTTTTGTTTGCACAGGTGTTTTGTCTCATGCTCCATTGAAGACCTCTGCAGGAGGAAGAGGATGCCAAGGCTGCCTTGAACCAGCCACAGAGCACCTTGAGGGACAAGCCTCCGTTGACCAAGGCCAACGCGTTGTTTTGTTTGTTCTTCAGCTGCGTCATTTTAGCCCGTCAAGGTCCGCAAAGGATTGTGTTTGATTTCTCCCCTGATTGTGCAAGTGAGGAGTTTGTATGCTTAGCATACAGCTTTGCCCATTGAATTGCCATTGCATGCAGTGCCGACGCCATGTGACGACTTTGTAAGATCGAGCTGCGGAAACCTCATTGACGCACTAGATTGTATTTGCCACATTCGAACAAGTATGTATTTTCACGTGTTTTTGTCTGGCAAAAGTCGGACACGGATTTCAAGGCATGAGACGGGAGCAAACAAAATCTTATGGCTGCGCCTGGGCCTCCAATGGGCCGACAATCAGCTCTAGTGATTGCTTGCTTGCTTGTGCGGACCTAGCTAGTGCTTCAAATCAATGCATGGACAAGGCGGAGATCATGATCCGCCAATCCGAGCTGAGGCACTGCGAAGAAAGGCAACTGAGCTAAATAGCCTTCTTTGTGCTTCCCAGCACTCCAGTCCAAGAGGCATGCACACTCCTCAGAATTTCCACCCTGGTTGGTCGCGCCAAAGCGGGGACGACCCAGCTCGAGCCATGAGGCAGAACTTGTTGCAGGATCCCAATGGCTCGATGAATCCTCACGGATTAGACAGATGGAATCATAGAGTCCAGGCTTCATGGAAAGCAAGCCAGAAGAGCATCCGAATATGTTGTCAACCCGGCAGGGAGGAGGGGCCACGTTCTGTTTGGGCGAGCTTGGGCAGAGGCTGTGTTTGTCCACTACCCCCTGTGCAAATTTTCGGCTCATGCATTCACCTGACTTGGGGTGCGTGGGCACGTGATTTGAAGCCGTGTTGTTTGAACATGTGAGGCAAAAAGAAGGACTACAAACCGCTGAACATCAATTACACGGTGGCCCGGGCGGGCGCCGCAGCAGCCCCGGCATTCGGCACGCAAGCGCCCTCCAGCCTAGCTGACCTGCTGCGGCACAAGCGCTCCCAGCAGGCGCGCTGTGTGGGGGCAAGTTTTGTACTGTGGATGCACGAAATCCATTTCGCACCACCTGAGAAAACCCTGGAAGGATGATCCCCCTGTAAATGGCAACAAACAATGGTATTGCATGGTTTCTAGGGCTTGCCTTATCCCCGAGTTGCAACTCGCCCACTTGGTCAGTAATCCCTTTTTGTTAGGTTTCCTACTGAACTTTGTTTCGACTCGACCCAAAAGGAGGGGAATGTGCTGGGGTTCAGTCATCCACAAATGGTGC